AGTGAAAAAAAAATGCAGGCCGCTTCTCGAGACATGCCGCGCTTAACGATATCATACGCCGGTCCCTTGCCACCATCAACGTGCCAAGTCTACTTGAGCCGACTGGTATTGCAAGAGACGATGGCAAGAGACCGGATGGTATGAGTTTAATTCCATGGAAGATGGGCCGGGTGCTGGTATGGGATGCAACCTGTTCAGACACGCTCGCCCCTTCCCATCTACATGGAACCAACAACAGAGCTGGTGCGGCTTGTGAAGCGGCTGAAAAAACCAAAGCATACAAATACAGGGATCTAGGTTCTGAATATGATTTTGTTCCTTTCGGTGTCGAGACCCTTAGCCCGTGGGGTCCTAGCGCTATAAGACTTTTTAAGGAAATAGCAAAAAGGTTATACGACGTCACAGGAGACCGAAGAGCTGGCAGCTACTTCGGACAGAGAATTAGTCTAGCTATTCAAAGGGGGAACGCTGCCAGTATCTTCGGAACCTTGCCTAAAGGGACTCCTTTTAATAATATTTTTTAGTTATTATATTATGTATATATACTTAAGGTTTTTTTTTTAGTTTAATGTAATTTATAGACTTAAAATATTCTGTAAATATTCGTGTGTATAATAAATGTATTTTATTAAATAGCAAAGTTGACATTTGGCATACAATTAAAAAAAATATATGTAAATTTTTAACAGTGAGAATGACGAAGATGTAATAAGTATTACGTATAGTAATATTGTTATGGTGTATATTGTAACACTTTCTTAGATTTACGCGAATATTTTGTTTCATTCAAAGCCTTATTCGATTATTGTTCCTACTTATTCAGACTTAACGGTAAGATCAATATAAACATTTAATCCAAACGGAAAACGAATCCACGATTACAGCGACTGTGACTTTAATAAAAGTAAATACAAAGAGTTGGTGTAAATTCAAAATTACGAGTAGAATATTTGTATTGTAATGTAATTTTATTGGTATTTATATAAGCTTGAAGAAGGACCATAAAGATCGATCAATCAATTTATAACTGCCGAATGCATCGATTATTGTTGTTATATTAAATATTAAACATATATTATCAAATTAAAAAAAAACCCGACTGCGTAAAAAAACAAACTAAAAAGATGAAAACAAGTTGTAGAAATAATACAGTAGGTATTATGCAGTGGAAGACATACGCGTAGCAAGACTAGCAGCAAGTAACAAAATACCTATTACCTACATATATATGTATGTACATACATACATACAGGTCAAACACAAACCTCCTTTGGGCTCCGCCGCAGTCGGATAGAAAGGCATACCCTCTACTCTCGTGTGAAAATAGGTACCTCCTTTTTAAAAATCGGTCGGAAATATCAATGAATAAACTAGCACAGTAAGTACTTACACAGTAATTGCAAATCGCTATTATATCGTGTTTACAAGTCATTAAATCTGTGTATAACGTGGACAATTTAAAAACATTATGTGATTTAAACTAACATTAAGCGAAGTCGATAGTTCATTAACAATAATGGAGTAAATTATGTCCATTTTTAATCATGTTCCACTTTGAGATTAATAATTTACATAGATTTCTGATAAAAAATATCAACACGCGCTAAAAGATTATGAGAATTTGTTTGCTTGTATATCCAAAGACCTTACTCAGGTATTTTCTAAGTTTTTGCGATGAACGAAACTTGTTTTGATTTTAATATAATAGGAGTCTAGCCTTAAACTTCCGTATATATATGATTATTTTATGTAAAAAATCTTAATTTGACGCATCTGTACTCATCACTGGCGATGTTTATGATAGTCGGTTTAATATAATATATTTCAACTTCTATTTTGAGACGGAAACCATAAAAAAGATAATGTTTACTATAATTTCTCATAGAAGTCACAGACTTACGGTATACCAGGATAGAATTAATAAGTGACCTACAAATGTCCTTCCGACTCTATTAAAAAACTTATTTTTTAACGACTATAATATTTTGCATAGGAACGCCACTTTATGGCAAATTTTATTACTAACACTATTATTCCAGGTTACATAAGCGATAACATCTATTCATGTACTGAATTTCAACCAAAATATGTCTAGCCGTTTAATGGTAAGAAATAGCAAATATATACACACACATACATACATACAAAAAATCACATTAATTAGAGTAATGTGGTTATATAAAAAAATGACTCGACCGGTTGCTTCATTGCGCTTTGAAATAAGGATAAAATATAAGCATTTATCTCATTAATTTATATTATTAGTAAAGAGTGTGTGGGAAATACCTAAATCTAGGTCAATAACAGCTTTTCTGTTTCAAATTTCATAAATTAAATATCTAATATCAATAAATAAATTTCCTCATATTATCACGGGGATTTCTTTACATAGGTATTTCCTCAGGATACGGAGTTAGTCGAATGTTAATTATTATCTAAAGCATAACAAAAATACATCAACTAGGTATGAAACCATTTCCCCCCCAACGTGCGTTCACCTTGTCGTGGTGGGGGGACTCAGTAGTGCCCGGCAACACAACCGGGCGCGAAGCCAAGAAACGCACAGGGAGGTGCTCCACTTCGGTGGGCGGTGGGAGGTGGTCCTCTTCGGAGGGCGGTGTACCATGCGGGTTGCTCCTGGTACTTCTCTGATAGCAGAGTGGACCTTGGAGCAACCCCGTGGTTGTCGTAGTCTGCTTTGGCAGACCTGCCGTCGGGGCGTCGTAGTTGAATGCGTAAGCGATCCTGCGACGCCCCATTAAGACGGGGGAAGGCTTTGTTGGGTTTTAGTGGGTAGTACTGGCTTTGCCGGTGAGTCCCACACCTCGTGCGTAAATGCATTTCCCAACGTTAAAAAAAAAAAAAGGTATGAAACCATTTGGTATTTAGATATTAGATAACCAAACTGAAAAAGCTTCTGCAAGATCTTCCTAGATCTCAAGGGAAACCTATATTTTTCAACTTTTAACCGATGGAAACATTAGTTTTTTCAGTTTAAAATTTGCCTATCTGTAAGGTTAGATTTTCTACTCGGTTTATCATTTAAATAAACATACAAAGACTGATATAATCATATATTTGAAAAATTATATAATAGACTCGCAGCTAGTATAAAATGTACATAACATATCTTTAACTAGCGACTCCTTCGCTCGCACAGCCCTAAATTTGCTTGTTTTCTTTTTTTTAACGTTGGGAAATGTATTTAGGCACCAAGTGTGGAGCTCAAACGCAAGGCCAGTACTATACCCACTAAAACCCAACGAAACCATAGTAGCGGAAGCAAAGCAACGCAACAGCCAGTAAAGTTTCATGCATATATTTAGCATCGACTTATCTCATTACTATTATAAATGCGGAAGTGTAGATGGATGAATGTTTGTTACTCAACCACGCCAGAACGGCTGAACGGATCTGGATGAAATTTGGCACAGAGATAGATTATAGTCTGGAATACATTGGTTACTTACTTACTTTTTTCCGGAAAAATGTGCAGTTTCCGTGAGATAGATAAGTTTTCGTTTTCCACAATGCAACGGCTTGACTATAATGCTAACAGTTAAAACGTACCTAAACGTACTTAAACCGAGGGTGAGTCGCTAGTTTATTATAATGATTATAATTATTATAAACAGGAAAATAAAACTTTAACAATGATACTATTTTTTGTCCTAAAACTGGATTTGCTCACTTCATTTGTTTACGCGAGACTTCGCAAATTGCAACGCAATATTATACACCAGTAATATTAATTTAATGACTTAAAATATTTGTTATCATACTCGTAATAGGTAATTTAATTAATTAAGTTAATTAAACTTTAGAATATGTTTTAAATGCCTTTTTTTCCTACTTGTTTATATATTATTGAACTACTAAAGTAGAAATTTAATAGGCTCTTAATACTTCTTCCATGTCTGTTTGTCTGTATATCTCTTTGCATTTCACGCAAAAAGTACTGAACCGATTTTAACAAAATTTTGTGTAGTAGTGATAACTTACATTTAAGATATTAGACCTTTTACTACAAGAATATCTCAAAATCATTCCCACGGGAAAACCCAATAACTGGTTCTATCTTGTCATTCTTAGAAATTCACATGACTTATGCTGGATAAACCTTATGAGATATACAAAACAACGTACTAGAAAATTATAGGTCTTAAAGAGAAAAAAAATCCACAAGCATATGTCCTAAGTAGTAAGTCCTAGCTCGCAAAAACTTTTTTTATCTGATTAAAACTATCTATTCTGTATGTTCTTAGTTGTATTTTTGCATCATTATCTGATTTGAATGAAAATGTTTTAATTCACATTATATTTGTATTTGCCATACAAAAAATGAACCGAGTTTCTTGTTTATCTTGTAACGTTTTCACCTTGAGAGCGTAAAATATTAAAGAATACAAGAGGAAGACGAACACACGAGAGTCGTTAGTCCAGCTAGCTATATACCTACGTATATAACGAATGGAAAGACGAACAATCCCACAAGTTTAAGTACATATTATGTATATGAATAAAAAAAATATGTGTACGGAACCCTAAAATTGTGCAAATATTATAATTTTTTACATTATTATAATAAATTTACTCTCTGTTCCTGAAACAATTACGAGTTCGACTTTATTTAAAGTTTAAATAAATATTAATATTTGGACATATGGTTAGGGTCTTTATTTTAATAGTTAATGTAAAAAATTGTAATTGCTGTTTTATACTTTACATATAATAAAAACAAGCGAATACGGTAATTAAACCATACCATTAACCAAATTGTACTCAGAAAATTTGTAAAAAAAAACTATGCCCAACTATAGCGAAGAAATAAGAACCACCAGGTGACCTCATAAGTACATAAAAAACCATTAGAATCGGTCAAGCCATTTAGACGCAGAAGAATTACAAACACACGCACACCAGAAATTATAGTTTTAAAGAATAAAATAAATCTTATAAATCAGAAATTATTATATGGACGTTTAATATTTTTGTTTCAGTAACAATACCTCTAGTAAGCTTTGGCATGGTGCAAGGATGGTTATCACCAATGATATCGATCCTGCAATCTTCTGAAAGTCCATCGCCAGAACCTTTCACCTCCAGTGATATATCCTGGGTGACATCAGTCACGTACATCACGGCGATCGTCTTCGGAGCACCCATGGGCTACCTTACTGATAGATATGGACGAAAAGTCATGACCCTTATCACGACTTTTTCTTTGATTGTAAGTGTCTATTAAAAATATAACTTTTTTACATTTTATGTATATTACTACTTTTGGCTCAGTTTGTAGCGGCCCTACTTGCTGTGCCAGTGATCGCGGGTTCGAGCGCTGGGGGCATTCATTTGTGTGATGACAAATGTTTGTACTCCAGTCATGGGTGTTTATATTTATAATATATATGTAAAGTTATATATGTGTAGTGTATCAACTATCTGGTATCCATAACACATTCCTCGAAGCTTACCTGGAACTAGATGGTGCTGTGTTAATGTTCCAACATATATATTACTTTTTACTAAGAAGTTGGTTAAGTGTGATGAACTCGTTCGAGGGTTTCATACCGAATATTTTTGTGTTACCTACTTTTTCTCAATAAAAAGGTCCTTATGGCTTATATTGTATATCAGCAGAAACGCTTAGCTCGAGTTCACATTATGCTTGATCTGTATTATAGGTAATTATTTAACATTAAAGTTGTATTATGCTGTTTTTTGCATATTTAGATCCAATTAAACAAAGTTGAATGATTTTTTCTTACCGTTTTTATTACAATGCAAAAACAAAAATATTTAAAAACACGTTTTTGTTTGGGGGTTTCCCTAATTATTATTTCTAATAAATCCGCCACAATACATTATATGTGAAAATTTCAACCTGATATAAATAAGATATAGGTAGGTACAGTTTTTTAAAAATTTGTACCTAACACAGGCAGATAGACACATAATGCCGTCATAATAAAGAAGGCCCTGACAAACAATTCGGTCAATAATTGTAAATTAACAATTTTAAAAACCCCCTACGCAAATTAATGGTCATTTAACGAATACACTGGCACGCGTGAAGCACTTAATCGAGTAATCACACGCCAAAATGCCTTACATCATTTTGGAAAAGAGCTGCTACTCTTACACTGCTGGGCTGATATTAACCAAACATAGCTAAGAACCATCGCAAGGAAAGTGGCATTCAAATGGAAAAAATCGCATCGAAATCGGTCCATCCGTTTGAGAGCTACGATGCCACAGACAGATACACACACAGACAGACATCGACGTCAAACTTATAACACCCCTCTTTTTGCGTCGGGGGTTAAAAAAGACTTCAATGCAGATTCGGAATGAGCAAAAAAAATGCTTTTTGATAATCTTACTCATAAAGCTCTAAATCTTATAAATCCGGAGATACTGTAACCATTTTCATCGTAACTACGTACAATCTATATAACTTTACACAAAAAACTGTGCATACAGCAGATGGCCTTATCGTTATAATCAATCTCTTGCAACCTTAGTATAAATTAGTGTCTGGCAAAGTTATGATGAATTAAAGGTTTTTTTTTTATTTTAGCTAATATTTCGTTCAAAAATATGGTAGCAGGCAAAACCGGGAGCTCAAGCTAAACTAACGCTCAGCCGGTTAGAATAAAATAGCCATGCATATAGCAGAAAATAAACAGTATTAACTAGAAAATATAAATTTATACAACAAGTTCTTCTATTTCGATACCTTCTTTTATCGTATCTTGTTCATTGGAAATTCAAATCCGTGCTGGTTTGCTTATTAAAAACATCGTAAAATTTACTTATTAACTTGATTAATGATTATAAATGTTTACGATCTCGCAAAATACTTGAAATGTAAACAAAATTCTATTGTATGCTAGTAAGGAGTTAATTAAATGAGTTTACTCTAAAATTATATCTGCTATAAATTATTCTGATTAGCTATTTTACTTAAAACTGATAATGGATTATAAATATTAATAGCTAGCTAGGGTTTCGTTCACAATTTCATGGGTTCTAATTTTTTTTGCGGGACCCTAATTATTTTTATAAAATTAAAGTTACTCATAACATCAGCTATTTGCCAGTGAAAGTTGCCGTGAAAACTGCCCTTTCAGAGATTAGCCGGAACAAACAGAAAGACAGACAAAACAATTTGAAAATAGATTTTTTTTATAAGTACCGTATAAAAATTTTATATGTATTTAGTAAAAAGTTATGGATATAAAATGGCATAAATGTATAAGAAAAACTAATATAATAATGTCCTCTCGACCGATTTCGGCCACGGCGGCCAATGTCATTGAGACTAGCCATCTGCGCAGGACATATTATAGTGCACAAGTACCTATACGCGCAGACACAAGTGCACTCTCTATTCCTATCAACGGCAGGACATCTATTCGATACCAGTGAGGGTACTCTCCGAGGCATGGGGGTGAAACCCCGCCAAGTGCCAACTTTTCAACTGTGGGCTGTTACTCAAAATTTCTTAACAGAAATACTCAATAACTGAACTAGATCCGACCCGGAACTCGAACCTAGGATCTCCAGATCTGCGACGTACATGCTAGCCACTAGGCCACCAAGTTAATTAATAGAAATATTCAGTTAGGTATTATAAAAATCTACCCTTCTTTCTCCGGTCAATACGGAACTCTAAAGTAGACATAGATATGACAATGAATATGACATTATTTATGGCATGACTTTATGTTAAACCCTGACATTAACAGTTATATTTTATTATATTTTATAATATATACTAAATCAACACAAAAAGACGCTTAAAAATAAGGAAATAACCTTGATATAATTTAGTTTTGAATAATCATATTAGTATCCGAACATGGTAAGGTCACACTTCATAAATTCGTCGTTAAAAATGAATAAATTACCTATATAAAATTTTCACGGTTCCAAATTCTATAGAATGAATGCACTTACAATTTGTATGAGGTTATTCCCCTCAAAACGTAAGGACGGGAAGTAAGTAAGGTGCGATTAAGATTTATAATTCGAGGTCAACGTCTTAATACCTAAGTATCTACTTCATATTTTTCCTAAACAGCACGTTTTATCTAGGACGAAACAATTACCTGGACAGTACAGTACTTTCGTATGCTAACTATATCTTTACTCTAATTTGTATCTATACTAATATTATAAAGAGGTAAAGTTTGTGAGTTTGTGAGGTTGTAGCCTGTAGGGGGTAATCTCTGGATCTACTGAACTGCTTTAGATGAAATTTGTTAAAAGGATAGTTTGAGAGCCTGGGAAGGACATAGAATACTTTTTACCCTGGAAATCATGCCTTAAGGAGGTAAATATTGGGATGAAAATTTTTATGGGGAATCAATCTTATATAAAAAAACTGTATATAAATGTTTATAAATTTATAAGGAGCCCAATAATGCCATAAAACAGTTGAAACATAATAAAAGTAATAGTTTGAGCCTTAGAAGGAGGGGTTTCCATAAAGTTTATGTAAAACTTCCTTTTTTGAGGTTAGTCAAAATCATTTAAAAAAAATCATTGTAAAATATTTGTTGTCTCACTCAGTTGTTATTCAGTTGTCAATTTTAATTAAAATGTTGAATCCATTGTCTATAGTAGGTATGTATAATAAGGTGTTTAAAAGAATTTTCTTCAGTTCTTTTCATCAAAAACACAATACGCAGTCGCACCCCATATCAAATGATCTTTTTCATCAACATCAAGTCATTTGTTTGTAAACAATACACAAAAAAAAATGTTCCGCTCTAAATCTACAGCCTGTTTTGTCAGTATTAAAATAACTTAAAAAAGGTGGAATGAACTTGCAAAAAAGGTATTGATAGCTTCCTTCCTTTTGAATATTTGCGAATTGTCGCATTCTTAGTACTTGACTTTAAAAAGAAAACTAAAATACATTAATTAGCTGTAATCAGAACATTAGTGGCTCATTTGTTTAGTATGGAACAGTACCCTGCATTTTGGCCTTTTCAACTTGTTTTCCTTCGGTCATTATATACCTTGCGGGAATTCCTACTTTTAGGATAAATAGTATCTTCTCTTGGATGTTTCTGGAATAAATTTCTATTTCTTCTGCATTATCATAAATGCAACTTTGCAAAGTTAAAATTAATCAATCCTCTCCTTTTCTATCTTTTCTCTCAGAATCCTTTTCCTTTCCCAGGATAAAAAGTAGCTTATATAATTTTCTTCTTTCTATTAACAACAAAAATCCTGTTGAAATCGTTCTGAAGATTAACTAACTGGTACAAATAGACAGACAGAAGAACAGCCAACGTTACTCAAAATTTTAACAGCTCTGTTAGCTTTGGTATGTTAAAAAAACCATGGGATAATATAGAGTAACTAATTTGAAGTCTGAGACACACTTCATTTTAATAATATAAGTATGAATGTGGACGTGGGAGCAAAATATGCTTACATAAAAGTAGAATCGGATACTATTTTATACTTGTTATTGCGCAGTACGAGCTTTGAACTTAGCAAGAAATATTTATAAGATATTAAGTTTTTTTTCAACATCATTACCACTTGCCTTACGGTGAAGGAAAAAATTGTGAGGAAACCTGCATGTCTGAAAGAACCTACTAACTTTTCTAAAAGACATGTGAAGTTCGCCAACCCGAACTTGGCCAGCGTGGTGGACTATGGTCTATAATCCACCTTCATAGGGCAGGTCCGCGCCCAGTACCTAGTGGGACGTTAAAAACTGAATACAACATTTGGCCTTTTGAAAACAACAAACAAACGAACGAAAGAATGAACGAACGAACAAACAAACAAACAACAAACAAACAAACAAACGAACAAACAAACAAACAAACAAACAAACAAACAAACTCTGCCTCTTTATAATATTAGTACTGATTAAATAACTGTAATTCGACATTTAAAGACTCTTAAAGATATTTCTCGCCTGCTCCTCTCAGCTGCTGAACTGCATTCCGAGCGGGCGCCAGCTACCACATGGACTGGCTCATTTTATATAAATGAGGATTCAATATTGCTTATAAAAGTGTAGTAAATATATTTTTAACTGACTTTAAAATAGGAGTAGGTTCTATATTCGTTTGCGATCAATGATGATAATGAATGGATTTTTTAAGCCATGCATTTTAATTAATTGTAATATAATACAAAATAAAATAGTAATGAATTCATAAAAAAATATCAATATGCAAAAAAATGTCGCCACACTCGCGTGACCACGCGTTATGATTGATTTTAATGTTGATATTTTCGTTTTATATTATATCATTCATATTCTGAACTAGCATTGCCCGCAGCTCCGCCCGCGTTCAGATGACCAAAAACCAAATTCTTAGGTTTACATATTAGTATACTCTTACATTGCAATTTTTGTATTTTTTCTCAAAAATGAGATATTTTCCCGCGGTAAAAAGTATCCTATATATTGACCTGGATAATCAGGTATCACCATACTCGATTTCATCAAAATCCCTCTAGTGGTTTTTCTATGATACGGTAACAGACAGATAGACAAACAGACAGACAGACGAAAATTCTAAAAACTATAAATTCGGCATCTGTATTAATAATAATGTTTATTTCAATAAGATTTCCCAAAAAAAATATCTAATGTACAGATTCGGCTTAGTTACAATTTTATTATATGAAAAGACTAGCGGCTTACTAATCTATCTCTGTGCCAAATTTAATCCAGATCCGCAGCCGTTCTAGCGTAATTGAGAAACAAACAGCCAAACATCCATCTAAACTTTCACATTTATAATATTAGTGAGATCAACCTAGGCACTATTAACTGCCCCCCCAACGTGCGTTCACCTTGTCGTGGTGGGGGGGCTCAGTAGTAGTAGCGAAGCTAAGAAACGCACAGGGAGGTTGCCCACTTCGGTGGGCGGTGGGAGGTGGCCCTCTTCGGGGGGCGGTGTACCTTGCGGGTTGCTCCTGGTACTTCTCTGATAGCAGAGTGGACCTTGGAGCAACCCCATGGTTGTGGTGGTCTGCTTTGGCAGACCTGCCGTCGGGGCGTCGTAGTTGAATGCGTAAGCGATCCTGCGACGCCCCACTAAGACGGGGGAAGGTTTTGTTGGGTTTTAGTGGATAGTACTGGCTGTATTACGCCGGTGAGTCCCACACGTCGTGCGTAAATGCATTTCCCAACGTTAAAAAAAAAAAAAAAAAAAGGCACTATTAACTGCCTAGTGGTCGAAATTCGACCATACATTATTGAAGAAACCTTGAGAAACACATACATATTTGCAAATTTTATTCATGTTTGCAAATTTTTTTATTGATAACACTGAAGGTCGTCAATACCTGCTAAACGTAAATATCGATATATTTTATAATTTTCATCGATTTTCTCTTATAACTTATTCATTTTTGGTTCCACGACTAAAAGTTACTTAACCAAAGTTGTAGAGAGTTTTATTTGCAACCAAAAATAGTTTAATAAATTTTTTTTGAGATCTTTTGTCAGACCGTTTGTCAGATAATCCATAAAAACCATTTGTGCCCCTTTTACCAAGATGGCGGCCGTGGGACAAGGGCTGCAACCCCACAAACTTGGATTTAACTTTACACTAACCCCTCCTTGATAAATAAAAATAAATGATGAATAAAAATAAATTGATAAATATAAATAAAAAATAAAATTGCGTCCTCTGACAAATGCACGCTAAGCCCAAAAAAATGTAACATTTCAATGGACTAATAGACAAACAGGTGAAAAGATATGAACTGTTTTGTCTTAGCCTATTTATGTATAGGTATGTAATTAGTTAAGGGGGCACCGAGGTTTTTATTTTAGTAGGACGACAGCGGGCACTGTGTGGCTAGGATGGAGGGAACGCGTATGAATATCGGTATTTCCTTCGTATTATTAAAACAAATACACATTTTGGAAATGTAACGTGTATACCTTATAGAAAACGTATAGTTTTGTTATTATTACAAAACTGATGTACTTCCTTAAATTATTTACGCGGCACTAAGGGTTTATTTTGTTTTTTAGACATCATTTTGGATTTTTTTTCTATCGAGGAAACTACAAGTAATCGTGTATCTAAAGTGTATGCTTCATAGAATCAATCCTTAAATATCCTACATATTAATAGCATAATTACAGTTTTAGTAATAACAATACAGCAAGGGATCAAACGAACGTAATTATTTCGTAATTGCATCGATGCGCCCTTAAGTAATTATCATCGTTCTCATATTATGAAGATTTGCACCTTCTTTTTCGAAAATGTGACTTTATTATAGTGTCCATATTTCTGATAGTTTCTATTTGTTCAAGTTCTAGTTACTCTGAGTGAATATACCAGTAGGTACATCGTAAACTTTTAAAAATATCAAAATGCCGGGGGTGGCTAAAGCTAATTTCCATAGAAAAATATTCGAATTCTTTAATATGTCTATCTAATATTGAAATATGTATACAAAACTTTTAGTAATCTGTAACCATGTGAATTTGTAAATATAATAGGTACATGTTGAATGAGAAAATAACTGTACCCTAATGGTTATATATATATATATATATATATATATATATATATATATATAATAGATTAACTAGCGACATCTCAAGGTAGTTAAAATTAGCATATTTATTACTTTAGGATATAGTTTATGTTTGTACTAAATTTTATCTTAATCGCCCGCTGTGTAAACGTGGAGGTACTCGTATAACAAACATCCGTACACATTATGCACATACACACGTACAACCTTTCGCATTTGTTACAATAGATAGTATAATATTTCAAATAAATAATGAGACATTTAAACCCTTAGTCTCTCCCATAACCATGATTGCTATAAAGCATTCGAAAGGTCGAGAATCAAAAATCAAAATAAATCCGCGAAAAAAATCCGAAAAGATAGTTTTATTTAAATTGTCAAATATTCTCGTAAATCTAAGAAAATATAGTATACCTAATACTTGCTAATATCACGTCGTTTACCTTTTATCACGCTACTTATTTTTTAACTGTAAATATTTTTTTCTTTCCAGTTATATTGGCAAATAAAGCTAATATCCCTAGAGCCCTGGGCGCTTATCCTGGCGCGGGCTATCGCCGGCATACCTTGTTCTGCCTGCTACATCGTCTTGCCAATCTATTTGAAGGAAATAAGTGATATAGATTTAAGAGGAGCACTTGGATCTCTGCTTATATTAAACAGGTAATTTTAAATACTTGAATAGGTTAAGTTGGGTACACTTATATATACTAAAAATATACGTAACTAGGTTTAATAATTATAAGTTTGTTTGTAACTTTTTCATACCTTAACTTTGGATCATTGTTGTAAATATTATAATTAGCATTCATCACTTTTTAACGTCCTACTGCTGGGCACGGGCCTTCTGTGGGATCAGGCATCGTCCACCACGCTGGTCAAGTGCGGGTTGGCGGAACTCAGATATCCTTCGAAAACTTGCTAGGTTCTCTCAAACATGTTTCCTTACGATGTTTTCCTTCACCGTAAGAGAAGTGGTAATCATGTTGGAAAATGATTCGAACATGAAAACATCAGAGGTGCGAGACCCGGGATTTGAACTCGCTTCACTCGGCGAGCGCGTTACTACTGGGCTACGACTGCCCATTATTGTACATATGAATGCTATATATCCTTAAAGACAATTTCACCACATTACCATCAAATACGATAGGTTGCGCAAGAGTATAGTAGTAGGTTGTGTAGACTATAGTAATGATTTTTATTGTTCATGGCTGTAATTTTGTTTTTATTTTCATTTTGTACTGTTTTTTTTAATCTTTAATTTAGTTTTTTGTTTGGGTGTGGGAATTAGGGTTGGAAGTAGAGAACGCCTTATTATATTACATGTTGAGCTAGCCTGTAAGTGTGATGTACAGTGTAATACTTTTTAAATTTGTTTTATATTTTTAGTGTTATATCACATTGTATGTTGCGTTGGCTTGCCTAATAAATAAATAAATAAATAAAAATAAAAAAAAAAGAGTAGCAGAGAAAACGTTGAGATTTATCACTTTAAATACAACTCATATACTATAGATATTAGAAGATACTATCTGATCCGGCAAATGTTGTTCTACCATATAAATTATCAAAGAAATCTAAAATATGATACAAAAATACTAAAATCGCAATCAAAAAATGGGGGGTTAAAAATACTTTACGACTTATTCTCATACCTAACTAATATACAAAAAATATATAATTAAAATCGGTTGAGCCATTTCGCAGGTTGCGACCACAAACACCGTGACAAGAGATATTTATATATTAGATTTTTTTAATTGTTTCATATTGCCTAAGCTTCTTCAATTACTTAAATTAAACACTAATTTTGTTTCGGGGCGCCACTCGCTTCTATATTACTCTATATAATAGTGTAATCATCAACACATTTTTATCTAAATATTTTTACAAGATAATCAAATCATTGCGGTCGCCGCTTTGGTTTCACAATTTGATTTCATAATGTATTAAGATATTAAGCACAAATTAAGAACAAATTATGAATAAAAGTATCAATAAAAAGATCATAGCGAATATTTCGTCAAATTTATTCTGGCATTTCGAAACATTTGTAATCTAAATAGACATTAAGATGATTGTAGATAAGATTTGTGACAGCTTTTGTGTTTTTCAAACGCATAAATAATATATAATCTATACAAAAAAATAGAATTTAAGTGTCTGTTTGTAATGTCAAAATAACAGCTTTTTACTAAATGCGTATGAATTTATATACGGTATTTATAAAAAAACACCATTTTTAACATTTTTTATGTCTGTATATTTGTCTGTCTAGTCTTGGAACCGGCTGGACAGATTTTGATGAGACTTTTACTGGCAGATAGCTGATATTACTCCTTAAGTTTAGCTTCTTTAAGTTTAGAAAAAGGGTATAATTAGGGTTCATTTAAAAAAAATTAAAACGGACGATAAGGAACAATAGTCACTAGTTTTATTTATAAGACCATTTAGAACATTAAAAGAAGACAGGCACATTGTATCTGTGTTCCCTAAAACAAATAAATTTTGACAGCAAATGCATTAGTTACATCGTTGTTTTTAAGACGCTATCGATTCATAAAATTGCTTTGCAAGCTTTCTTTAAAGATTTTATAAAAATATATATATATTTTTAATAAAGAAATAAATAAATACACAGCACCATCTAGTTCCATGGTAAGCTACGAGGCCTGTGTTATGGATACCAGATAGTTGATACACTACACATACATATTATATATAAAAATTAAATACACACATATTATAAATATAAACACCCATGACTGGAGTACAAACATTCGTGCTCATCACACAAATGAATGCCCCCAGCGGGACTCGAACCCGCGACCACTAGCACAGGAAGTAGCGTCGCTACAAACTGAGCCAAACGTATCGTCAAATTTTACTTATAAGATTCTCTCTTTTACAATATATTCTAAGACTCTTACGGTAATCTTGCTTCGCTAAGATGCGTCTCTATATAGCTATAGTATGAAACGACGTACCTACCTGCAGAGATAAAAAAAAGTTTGTTCGTTGCGACATGAAAGTAAGCCAAAAATAATAAACGTACTTTTCACTTATTTACAATAATGATAAAAAAAAATATTTTGTTCCTTAAAATCATTCATTAAGTTGTTGAGGCATTATAGAGATAAGTCCGAAAATACTTAAAAACTAGAAATAATAATTAGCAGCAATTTCTAAACTACTAATCTACTAATTAATGACTTTAATTACATCAAAGTCTATTTATTGGTGTTGAAGCGACGCAATCACATGTACAGACTAAACTTCATTTGCATTTCGAACGATGCTCAAAAACCAGAAGCATTTTTCTTGATTTAAATATATGGAGGTCAACTTATATGAATTAAATTATAATGTCCTAATGAAATAGTGTTTTTGGTTTATTTATTAGAAGTTAGGTTATGTTGGTACTTTAGTGTAACATGACCATTTAATTTGAAGAACATGTTTTAAGTGGAGATCTCAATAAGATTTTCTATCGGCAAAATTAAGATATTTTTAATTTCAGAAATGATGACTTATTACATTTTATACATCATTCCTTACAATATATTTATGTGTAACTTAATTTAACTCTTTTAAGAGATACATTTTCAAAAATACTTTTTTACATGGTATAAAATGAAGTCACTTCCGCTGTCTGTTCGCTTAGATCTTTTAAACTACTCAACGGATTTTATTGCAGTGTTCAGCAATAGATAGAGTGATTCAAGAGGAAGGTTTTATATGTATAATACATGCATATTATAGTACAGAAAAACCGAGAAATTCAAAGATTTTTATTTCATACTAACCGTTAAAACGTACCTAGGGACGAATCCTAGCGAAGCGAGGGCGAGTCGTCACGCTTCTAGAACCAACTATTAAACTTGTTCTGAAATAGTTGTTAAATTGTATGAAGTTATCAACTTTATGTCTTAGAAAAAATAGTATCAAACATAAAAATTACTTAGAATTTTGGCACGATGTTTTTTGAAATACTAAAAAATTATTCCCATACACGCTATAAATTGATTAATTACTATCTTACATTAGGTATATTATAATGTTTAAATCTCTAAACTAAATCTTTAAAAAATGTAGATATGTACCTACTTTGTAGTCTGTATATATTGAATGCCTCAGTGATCTAATGGCTAGCATTTATGGCTGCAGATTCGGAGTTCGTGGGTTCGAGTCCCTGGTCGGGTCAAATTAATTACTGACTTTCTCGGCTAAGATATTCTCAGTAACATCCCGGAATTGGGAAGTTGCACAAGCCAACGGTCCTTAACTCTCACTTCATGTGTCGAGTAGTTGTCGCATCGGAGTATGAGAATGAAGGGAATAGAGAGTGCACGTTGTGTCTGCGCGCACACGCACTGCACTATAATATCTCCTGCGCAGTTGGCTAGTCTCAGTGAGATTGGCTGTCATGGCGGAAATTGGTCAGGAGGGCATTATTATTATTATTTATATTTATATTAACATATCCTAGTGACTTAGACAAATGTCATTCTATAATTGTTGCAGAATAGAAATCTAAAAATATATACAAGAATGACATATTATCGTAATAGAATCATTGACAGATTGAATCGTGGTTTCATTGAATATATCTATAAAATTTATCATTTCAATGCAATTTATTAAAATTTCTCAACGATTATAGAATGGCATCTTGTCTTGACCCTAAGTTGCTAGCGCATTAGTGGAAGTGTTACAATGTAAGTGTGACAAGATTGATCAAAACAACTGCTTCGATCTCTTTTGACAATACTCGTCGATAATTATATACACCATTGCGGCTCTAATGGGAGAATTTGCATGCAAGCAAAAATCAAAACATATAAGCATTCAATTCTCAGACATAGGCTTGAAATTTAAATTTATTCAGAGATGGACTTATATTATGTCTACACAGTTATAATGGGGTCCTCTCTCCCCTAAAGAAGTGAATCTATATAACTAATAGTATATATATGTAATATATATAAAGATATGCATAGTTTGTTTGTTTGAACGCGCTAATCTCACGAACTACTAATCCGATTTGAAAAATTCTTTTTGCATTAGATAGCCCATGTATGGAAGAAGGCTATAAGGCTAGCCTATATATGTCATATAATTAGTTTATCTATCCCATACAAACTCTTAAAAAAGCGGGTCAAAGCGGTGGGTCGCTAGTCCCATTATATAGAAGAATATGATAAATGGTTACCATATATTTTATTTATCGTTATAAATTATATTTTTTCAGAAACATAGGCTATCTAGCCAGTTACGTGTTCGCGGATCTCTTGCAAGTAAATACCATGCTGTGGATAGGCCTATTAGTTCCTACTATAGTATTTTTTATCTTCCTCGTCATGCCTGAGACACCCGAGTTTTTGGTTAAACAGGGTAAAGTTGATGTAAGTTCAAATTATAAACAATTTGTATATATTTAAAATATTTTTATGTAAATTATGAGGTTGAAATATGAATAACTAGACGTATTTTGTAATAATTCAACACCGCAAGATGAGATTGCTGTTATATGTATTATATTATTATATTATATAGATTCTTGAAATTATTATTCCTTTAATTGAATTTTACTTATTTTAAATTAAAAAAAATATTGCTTATCATTCGTTGTACAGCAGGGATTAACATGGCTTATGCATCAACCCCCAAATGCTGTTAGAAAAAAAAATAAGAAAAAAAATTATACTTTTTCTTTTATCTTTCAAATTTTTAACATTCTCTCAACAGTCTAATAGACATCCTTAAACAATTGTATTATTCCTTAATAAAATGTTTTTTATAATATTGCAGGAAGCTAAAACGGTGTTAGCGTGGTTACGCGGCAGGAGTATATTAGACCACACCTTAGAACAAGACATAGACACCATAGTGAAAGCCGAAAAGCAGACCAAGGCTGATCCTAAATCCGTCTGGAAAATTATATGTAAGTGTTCAAACCTTAAAGATAATAATAATATCATTATTTTTAATATTTTTATTAGAGTATCACGACAGATTACATAATACTATACTAGTATTATGTGACCTGGTATCACTAAGATAAAGGCCAATCTCATTAAAGGTCTATGCACACGAGGACTTTTTAACGCGCTGTCGGCGGACTTTAAAATATCGACTGCATACGTTCGTATCGATATAGACGCATGAAAAGCGCCCGTTGACAGATTTTTTGTGCATAGGCCCTAATATGTCTATACTTAAATGATAGAGATTTTGACGTTATGCTTTAATTCGTTAATTTTTTGTCTTATTAAAATTTCTAGAAAATTTTGAGGAAATGTCGACCTTCTAAAATCTCTTTAAAAAACTTTTTTTTAATAGCCATTTTAAATCGAAGTGATTTTTCTCACTCAGGTCCAAAACGGATATAATATTCTTCAAAAGTAGATTTTTATAGTACTCAGTACAATACATATAGATTATTCCATACTGTGGCGCAATTGCCAGTCGCTCGAGGTTGCAAATTCGGAATATATGTAAATTAAGACGTTGAACTTTACTAAACTAGAACTCTCTTCTCAATCTTTTATAAGTCTTGAATATACTCGTTTACTAGGCTAGCATAGTATAGTAATTAGTATCGGAGTATAGATTCCGAAATAAGGTCATCCTTTATATAAAAACTTAGCGGATGAAAATCATTTTGTATTGAATTTATAAAAAAACTTACATATTATAAACAAATCTATACATACTCGTATAATAAAATTGAAACCAAGCCGAATCTGTACACTAAACATTTTTTTGAAAATCTTATTGAAATAAACATTATTATCGGTACAGAGACCGAATTTATAGTTTTCTGAATTTTTGTCTGTCAGTCAGTCTGTCTGTTACCGCATCACAGAAAAACCACTGGAGGGATTTTCATGAAATTTGGTATGGTGAAAGCTGGTTATGCGGGTCAACGTATAGGATATTTTTTACCGCGGGAAAATGTATCATTTTTGGGAAAAAATACAAAAACTGCAATGTAAGAGTATACTAATATGTAAAACATAAGAATTTGGTTTTTGGTCATCTGAACGCGGGCGGAGCTGCGAGCAACGCTAGTGCATTGTAAATACTATATGAACGATAGATACAAATTCAGAAATCATTATACTATTTGAGTGATATCTGCCCCTCGACTTATCAGGCCTTTATTACCCCCCTTTTAGTATAGGTATCCATTTAATGAAAAAAAAAACACAATTAGCGTAGATTTTATGTAACAAACCCACAAAAATTACAGACAAATTATAATTAGTCTTTCCTTCCCCTGCTCGGTCGGTCGGTTGGCCTAATACGAATAAATCTATAATTATTATAATTTTTACTTAACGCAATAAAACCTTGTGTATGAGCATTTGTTGTATCCATACAAAAGGATATTCTATTCATACAACATAGTAACTAGGCCGAGTGGATATTTGCATGGAATTTGCATACTTCATACGTTGTTATATATTCCGCGTCCAATGCTACACTTTTACTTGTACTTTTGTTTTCTTAAATGCTACTGAGAATATATTTCCGGCCAGCCACTTTGATTTCGTAATATTGACTTTTTAGGTTTCACTCATGTGGAGTATTTTTAGAATTTCTTTCGTATGTAGTTCCTGAGTAGATACTATTACGATTTTCACTTTATCACTTTGATCTTTATTATAGCTTAGGCTTAGCTCTAATGATCCATATTTTTAAGATCAATATATGTAAGTTTTCATAAATATCGTACCTGCGACTTGTTTTGTAGTATAGTAACAAGTGCCGGTCAGACACAAGGTCCACTAAACTATGCCGTATTTATATTTCAAAATATAATGTTGGAAAACAATTGTGTAAGAACACATAATGATATACATAATGCAAGACATAATACAACAGCTAATATCTTATCTTCTATTTCAGTAAAAGACAGAGCGACTTTTAAGGCGTTCATCATAACGTTAGTGATCAAGATCACTCAGCAGTTCGACGGGTACCTCATAGTGCTGATATACGCGGGTTACGTGTTTCAGCGTGCTTCTGAATCTATATCTCTGGAACTAAGTGCCAACAAGCAGGTGATGATGATCGGACTGGTCCAGCTGGTGGGATCTGTCATAGGTACTTGCATCGTGGAGAAGACCGGCAGAAAGGTAAATTAAATAGGATATCCTTTTGTTATACGGGGTATACTACCCGTGACCATAGCACTTGTAACATTGCTGAAATATCGGGAACTCTCAAAAGTAAGTGCTAAGCATAGTAAATATCCCGTTTTACATCATAATAATATTGTCAGCAGCCAAGAAAGTTTAAAGGCTGTTTGTTAGGATATAAATGTTATTAAACTTACTAAAACGGTAAAGTCAATAAGGAACTTGATACTACTTTATTTTATACTAAACTTTACATTATGGGATATAATTCTTTCTTTTTTTTTAATGGATGATTGAAAATGATTTGGTGACCAGATTGAAATTACAGAATTATTAAGCCATTCCTTTATTTTGCTGACAAATCAGTTTTATTTCTCCATTAAAAGTATCCTTCAACATAATTTTATTGAAAGCTATTCAGTGTATAAGCTAAACTATTACTGTTTCATTACACGCTTACATTTGTTCTAGTTGCTGCTAGTGTCCACATCCTTTGCGGTTGGGGTAGGGATGTTGCTACTGTCCGGGTGGTTCTACCTCGCAGGGACAGTGACATGGTTACCAGGATGGGTACCAGTATTCGCGATGTGCCTGAGCATCTTTGCCGACGCGGCAGGCTTCCAGCCAATATCATATATCATCATTACTGATTTATTTTCTTTTCAAGTAAGTTATTTTTAATTATTATATCAATTTATCCTTTTTTCACATAGTAACAGGTTTTAGTAATATTCGCGAAGAAATTATTTCTGACTCTGAGAGATAAAATACTTTCTGTGTGATATAAAGCACCATTTACATTTTTTACTGTTATTTCCTTCGGGCCAATTTCCGCAACTCCCACTTCTCTTGCAAAAGCATTCAGTGCAAGCATTTTTTGCATCATAATTTTTATAACTTTTATGCTTACTATTCTACATCAAATCAAATTGTTTCAAATCGATTTGAATGATACTCGCATGAACTTGAAAAAATGTCATACGAGACCGAGTTTAGACAAATCGAGAAATCGTAGGCAAATATCTCATTGTGATTTATGTTGTAGTGTAAACAAAACGCTTGGCAATCATTACCTTACGAATATCGTATGACATACTCGTAGGCGAGTTTTTTTTTTTTGGTTCGATGTAAACATCAATTGACAAATGCAATTATTGTCTAAAAATTAATAGGATACGATTTCTCGCCCCAAAACGTGCGATGAACTCTCTCCATGTAAATGGCGCTTAATATCAAGGTGAACGGTAATTGACGTAAAATTTTATTACACTAAAATGTTTTATTTATTTCTTAAAATCAAATATACACTGTTTCGTTGATTTTGAAGTTAATTAGAAACTATAAAAAAAACAATACGTAATTAATTTTAAGTATAAGATTATATCCTCAATAATAAAATAATCGTGTTCTCCATTTTCCAGCTACGTGGCACTGTGTCGTCGTTCGCCAACATTTGTGCCAAGCTAAGCAACTTTGTTCAAATGAAGTGGTTCACAAAACTCTGTGAATTGATCAGTATTCACTGGACCTTCTTATTTTTCTCTATTGTCAGCTTTTTTGCGTCAATTTATACGTTAACCGCTTTCCCTGAAACAAGGAACAAAACTGTTGATGAAATATATGAAAAGTTAGATAAAAAGAAAGATGAAAGAATAAAAGCTGTGCCGTGATATATGTTAGATTTTACATATACATATAAAGCTTTATTTAAAAATGTGAAAGATGATTCTAATCCGTTGATTTGATAATTTATTGGATAGTCCCTCATTAACATCGAGGTCACATAATATTTAACTGTACTTCTTAAAGACATACTTAAAAAGTATCCTGGATACTTTTTCTATTCAAGTAATTATTTTTAGGTGATAGTAGTATTATTTAGAAAATTTGAAAGGCACAATATTTTAGTTTTTATATTTTAAAAGATATAATGTAAATTGCATGTGCATTAGGTTTTACTATAAAATGAATATGTTCCGTCCATATGGATTTGTTGCAAACAAATCAAGACTGTTAGAATAACTCTAATTGGATGAATCTCGTCATTTATTGTTAGAATATTATTAGATATAAGATAATTATTTATAATCTGGTCAAATTCAATATAAAAAAGTTATTTAATTACCTACTATATATATAACCTAAATAAATTATATTAAAAATAATAAGATTGTTTTATAAAATTAACAATACTTGTTAGATTTTTTGCAAGTTGCATATGATATTATACGGTTATTTAAGTAAGTATAAAATTATCTGAAAAATTTTGCTAAAAATGCAAATCCATCGAGAAAAATGAATAAGTTATGTAAATGAAAATAAAATTCACTGAGTTAATTTCTTCGAAAGCTTAATTTCAGTAATCATCTGGATTTATAATAATAACAAAACATGTCATAGAAGCCCCCATAAGTCTATAGACTACCAAAATCATAACTTGTTCTAAATAAATAAAAATGAATATTCGTGTGTTTGTCCTCTATGCCTTCCTAAAGCATTGAACCGATTCTGATGAAACTCTAGGTAATTATGTAAACGCCTGCGAAGGTCCGTGGAGAAAAAAAATGTTTGGACGTTTGACTTTTCTATGTTCCTAAGCCATTTAAGCTTAAAACACCCGAGCAAAGCGAGGATAAGTAGCTAAAGTAGCTTATAGTATCTAATAAATACTCAGTGAGGCTTATTTTTGTATTTGATATCTTTGTTTTTGCATAAATGAAGCTAATCAAAATTCGTATAGAGAGATATTTCAAACAAGGATTCAATAGTAGAAAAAAATTAGTTATCATATACATGCATATTTATAAATTTTATCATGGTATCGCCCATTGTCAATTCAAAGCCGTTAAAAAGTAAATTGGCAACACTATAAGCATTAAAATCGGTTTTTATTTTCAATCATATTTCCTATATTAATAAGTACAGTATGTAATTATATTTTAGCCTTTTAATAAATAGTTATTTAACCATCTCGTACAAATTAAAAAGAACAAGGAAAATTATATTGTGTAAAAAAAGCACGAGTATTATGTTACTTGAAGCGAAACCATTATACATCTGTTTAAATAATTTAAATAAATCTAGCATTTAAGTTAAATACTTGAAATTTTAATTAGTGACATGTAATATAGTACCTATTATTCAAATTATAAGGCAATTTTATAGCTGACAACCGTTTTAAGTGGGTATTTATCCTCATCATGGAAGTGAATAAGAGGCCAAGTGATGGGACTATATCACGTAAACATAAATTAAAGTCGATTATAATTAATAAAATTAATGTATCACAAGGTTTACTTAAAGTACTGATTTTATGTCAAGCATAAAATGTATAATTGTAAATACAGAAAATTCTAGAACAACTAAAATACTTAATAATTAGCCTACCGACCTGAGATTGAGGTCCATTTTAGCTCTAAGTACAAATAGTATTTAACTTTCTTAGTCTTGTCCATATATTATTAAGTAAATAAGCTATATCAATTATAAATATAATGGAATTAAAATTGTAAATATTTAATTAATGTTGGTTTTCAATATATTTCGTTGAATCTAAAATGTGTTTTTAATTTTTATGCTTTTTAATCGTTTATAATACTGAAATAGTTGATACTAGTTCTTGCACCCGGCTTCGCTTGCATGATAAGCGGGGTGGGGTTCAAGGGTAGCCAATGTCCGATCCCAGGATGCAATCTATTGTCCTTGTCAAATTTTATCAAAATCTGTTCAGTGGCTTAAGCGTGAAAAAATAACAGACCGAGTTCGGAGTCACTTTCACATTTATAATATTAGTATGGATTTTGGATTAAGATATAAGCTAGTATTCATTGAATCATCGACCATATAAACGAAGCCGCGGTCAAAAAGTGTCATATAGTGATAAATTTCTTTTTTATGTTTCTACATCCGGTATACCTACTACCTAATTTCTAGAAGCAATATATGGTTTTTTTATTTTATTTAAATGTAGTGTATTAATTCCATTCTTTTTATTAGTGGGCACTTCTAATTTTTAACTAATCTTCCTTAACTTAATATTTCATAGGTGTACAAAAAATAACGTATTTAAAATTTTATAAGGCCCCTGATCATAATAAAGAGCTATCACGCCGACATTTAGTGATCGGATATTGCTCTAGCAATCTCTTTGAAGATAATTCAAAACTTGTTGATGATCTATATTTTTTTTTAATTTTAATCAGAGAAAATAATAAAATGCTTCAAGCAAGCATAATATCATATTCATTCAAATAATTGACTATATGACAATCGGCTGCCGAATTCACCAGAGGTCCTACACTCGATTCCTGCCACGAGACAATGGGTTGGTAATGCCGATGTGTTTTAAAAAGTATAATCTTCGAGCGTAAATATTCTGTAAAAAATGATTATTTAAGTATATTTACTCTTTTGTACCAAAATATAGAATGTCAAGACATGTTGGTGGTTTTATTTTCGACGTGGGTGAAAAAGTCAATACAAAGATGTGTTAAGAGCAAATTTAGTACACCCAAAATAGTAATTCTTATATTAACAAATTACTTAGCTTTGAACAGCTAGGTACTTATAGTATTTTAAATATTTGTATATGAACTCAATAGTCCCAGTACAGTAAATAATCATAAGTTAAATCTATTTCTTCTATACCTACTATAATAAAGCAGTAACTTGGCTAAATTTGTACATGAAATATTTTTTTAAAACAATAACTGTAACCCCAAATAACCGCTAATAGACCCCAAAACAATACTTATTAAAAAAATGTCTGTTTCTCTGTATGTCTGTTTGTGTGTGTGCGTTTCACGCAAAAAGTAATGAACCAATTTCAACGAAATTTGGTAAAGTGATAACTTATTACTCGGGCCAACTTTAAGGATACCTTTTACTAAAGGAAAATGTTTCATTTCCACGGGAAAACACAATAACTGGTTCTATCGAGTCGTCCTTACTAAAATTTACTAAAAGTACTTTATTAAAAGTATGTATATGGCTAACGCTGGCTAAGAGATACATCAAAATAATGTACTATAAAATTGTAGGTCTTAAAAAGGCCTACAGAAAAATCTCCAATAGTATAAGTCTATCATAGGTATATATGACTATACGTATATATATATGTATATAGATATGACTATACGTACACTCTATCTATAGGTACACTCGCAATAACTATTTTTATCCATACTAATATTGTAATAAAGAGAAATAAATGAATTTTTGTTTGTAATGGATAAACTAAAAATCCGCTGAACCGATTTAGATGTAACTTCGTATGAACATAGTTTGAGACCCCGAGAAGAACATAGGATAGTTTTTATTCTGGAAACAATCCTTTAAAGGGATGAAAAGGGGATAAAAGTTAGTATGGGGAATTAATCATTTCTCAAGTAATGGATAGAAAACTCACCATACCTATTACCTTTGTATATAAATATATTATATTAATATATAGTCTATCTATTCCATACTAACCATTAAAACGTCCCTAGGGACGGACCCGAAAGAAGTGAGGGTGAGTCGCTCGCGGGTAGGCGTTACGAATTAAATTTTACAAATATGTCCGTGTTTACATTTAATACATAATTTATATTTTATACTCACAATCTATACTAATATTATAAAGAGGTTAAAGTTTGTGAGTTTGTGACGTTGTAGAGGATAATGTCTGGATCTACTGGACCGATTTAGATGAAATTTGGTAAGAAGATAGTTTGAGACCCTGGAAAGGACATAGGATACATTTTATCCCGGAAATTATCCCTTAAGGGGTTGAAAATGGGGATGAAAGTTTGTATGGGGAATCAACCTAGGGACGAACCCGAGGCGAAGCGAAGGTGAGCCGCTAGTAATTCATATAGGGGAAATACATATTTGTTGCAACAAATTATATCATTTAGTTTTACCTTATCCAATTTATGTAAATTACCTACTTATAAACTCCTTCTGAGTAAGATATTACTTTTCTGATTAGTATTTGTCGTTACACACATATTTACATTTTATAAATAATATATTATTATGTATACATATTATTGTAAAATACTTTTATTAGTGACCTTGTTTTGGTTGGATATTAAATAGATACACGGGATGAATATTTATTATAATATTTGAACGAGTGAAGTAAAAATAAAACCGAATTATGTAGGTAGTGAGTTCCTAGTAAGTATTCTGTATCCCTAGTTCTAAAGAATTAATTTGGTAAATTAAAATTTCTATGTTGTCCTCTTAATATCTTTCCCATAAACTTTATTATTTATTAATTCAAAGTAATATGAAATTATTAAAATAAATACACAACTATTTCGTGTTACGGAGTAACAAAGAATGTTTATATTATAATAGTGAGTTTCCATGATGAAATAATTCCAGAATCATAAAATTATAGGAGATTATAAGAAATTATAAGCGTATGAAATAAATTAATAAAATATGACTTTTAATGAATAGAGATAGTTTATATTCTAGAAACAAAGACACAGCGAAATCGATAAAGCCGTTTCCGAGATCGCCGGTATAAATAAATAAATATACAATAATTGCTCGTTTAAAAGTATTAGGTATGTTTGAATTAAGCCTAAATTAGTATTTTAATGTAATTTCTTTTTGATTAAGAAAATAATTATTGAAAAGTGCAAACACAGGTGGGAAATCCAAAGTAGTAGAA